GTGTTTGGGCATTGGGGCACCGCTCAGAGCGCTTCTGATCCTGGCGATTATGGCTCCCGGTGAAGCCAGACCTTCCCTTTCCCGCTCTGYGCGCTCCTTTCCCAGGCGCGGCACTGGGGGGCACTCGGGGGCTCCCCGGGAGCCGGGGCAAGTGTGAGCCCTGGGGGGCACAGCGGGATGGGGCAGCCCGAGGAGSGGGGCACAGGGACTGCCCTGCTTTGCGAGCTGCTGTGAGGGGCTGCACTCTCACCACGAGGTTTGTTCTGGATTTCWCGGGAGGAAGAGGAGGGGGTGCCGTGGAGCAGCAGCCCCTCACCCCTGCAGTCAGGACAGCTCAGAGCACGGGGGGCTTTGCTGCAGCCTCTGAGGTTCCCGCAGCCCCCTGAGGGACCCCCACCAAGTCGGGGCAGTCCCCCCACCATCCATGGGCCCGCTGAACCTGCGGAGGGCCTGCGGGGCTTCGAGGGCTCCCTCGGCCATCGGATCTCTCACGTTTGGAATCCTTGCTTCCATTCCTGCCGTGACCACTCGGGTGTCCTGCCCCATCCATGTTTCTGCCTGCAGAGCCATCCCCGGGCGGGGGGACAGAGGCAGTGGGGGAGCACTGTCTTGTTCGGGAAATGGGAGACAGGGGTTGGGAAGAAGGGAGAAAGGCTTTTGCCAGAGGAAATCGATATCCCGTGAAAAGTAATTATTGAAGCATAAATTTATCATAAGGGTGATCACCAATAAAACATCTCTTGGCGACGTTTTAATTTAAAATCAAATTCGAAAGACCCCCCTCCCCCTTCAAAAAAAAATCCTTAACAAGCAGAAAAATAACTGCAGCCCTTGGAACACTTCATTATACGTTCAAAGAGAGCTCCATCATCTTCGCACCGACGCCGGGCTCTGCTCTTCTGATGGATCCAATGCAGCTGATTTATGGAAATGACTTGCAAATCCATAAATGTAGTTTGCAGTGACAGCCGTGCATATCACTAGTAATTCCTTTAAACTATGCAAAGAAAAATGATTCATATCTGGTTGGACCCTGCCTTTTCCAAGGGTCGCCACTCCTGAGTCTTGATGTGTTTGTCTGTGTTGGTTTCCCTCTTGATTTTTTTTTTTTTTTTTAACTCCATGATGGATGAGGCTGAGATCTTAACGCTGAAAGCCGGGACCCCGAGACGGCCGGCGAGGGAAGGGTTAAGCCTGTGGGAAGGTGGTTTTGCCCCCCTTCCCCACGGACACGCGTGGGTCGGACGCGACACACATTGCCGCACTCGGTGTCGGGTCCCCCCGGCTTTCCTCTGCAACCCCCCGGGTTTCAGCCCYGGGTTCCGAAAGCTTAATTGTGTTAATTAATTAGTCCTCCATGTGTGATTGTTGGGTGACTCCGGGGCGGATGCAGAGGGATCGGGGAGGTGCAGCCTGGAAGGATGCGTGGCCRTGCCTCAGTTTCCCCAGCTGCAAGAGGAGCGTCGCGGGAGCAGAGGAGCCGGGGGACGCCGCTGCAGCCCCGCTCTGAGGACGCCCCCGAGTGCCCCTCCTTGGGGCTCTCTCCTCTTTGCAGACCCCAGCGCACAGGGCTGGGACGCTCACGTCGGGCAAGGATGGAGCAAAATTAGAGAATCTGRGAATTTCCTCATTTTTGCGGTCAGCCCAGGCACCACCATATCCCCCTCCCCATTTGTATCCCCAAAGATCATCCTCCTGCAGTATCTCTGATAGTGCATTTATCAGGCTTCATGATGCAATAACCACAAGCAGCCAGAAAATGTAGCATATTTCCACATTATCATCCAATTTCCCTTCCTGGGTATTTAGTTCAACTCTTTAACACCAGCCACATAATTAGAATTTGGATTTCCATTAATTTTCCTTGGGCCTGCAACCATTTTAAGATCACAGTGGTAATTAACGTGATACATCACTAATTTCACCAAGCACAATCTAAGTAGGCGCTCCCCCTCCTTCCCGGGGGCAAGGCTGGAGGGGGGATGGTGGAGGGGACTTCGGGGGTCGGGGTGGCCCGGGACCCTGCCAGGGTGACTCTGTCCCCGCCCCGGCCCCGCCGAGGAGCGGAGTGTGTCGTGTCGCAGCCCGGCCCCGCCACATCCTCCGCGTTCGCTACGGAAAAATACACTTTTCTTTCCAGTAAATTTAACAATTAAAAATATTTATCGGTAGCAGATTTACGTTGTTGTGTCTCCAGTCTTGGGGCATATTGGTAGACTATTAAGACTAATTAGCATCCTTTCTGCATGCAGATTTACTAAGCTGATTGCGGTATAACTCATCCCTAAAAGCCCCTATCCCTTCACATTTGCAGAATGTAGCTGAAGGCAAGGCCCTTTCGTCTCTCTCCGAGCTTGCAAGCAGCTCACGTTAGCCGGGCCTTTTGCTAAGTAAACTTTAAAAATGTGAAGCAATAACAATTTGAGTTAGAAGCTTGCAAAGTACTAAAATGGAAATATTACCTCGGGAGCTTCCACAGGAAGGATCTGGGAGGAAACAAGAAGCTTAAATGTATAGAAGCACGCAGCAGATACAGGCTGTATATTCTCAGCATTAAACCCAGGGCTGTTATTTTCTTAAATATATTTGGAAATAAACAAAGGGATTTCATACGTGCCTGGGTGGCTGCGTGTTCCCGAAGCSAAACAGCTCCGAGGAGGGGAGGGAGAGAAGGAAGSAAAGAGAGAGAAAACGAAGAGTTTCAGAAAGTTTGCAAGATGCAGTTGCAGAGAACAGTTGTTYGTTTTTTCCTTCCTTCTCTGCATTTTGGGTCTGTTTAAAAGGCGCGGAATCRGCAGAATGCTTTGCTGCACAGCCCCTCGAATACAACGGAAGGGGAGATTCGTAGCATCCTTTGTACCTTACTTTGTATTTTAGATATTTAAAGMGCCGAAGAAGGCTTTGTGAGGCTCTTTCAAGGTGTGGAAAGTATCAGCTCTCATGCTTTTAAAAAGCATACACTGCTGGTTTATTATTAACACACTGGGAAGTACATAAGCCCCACAACTTTATTCTCTTTAATGAGCCTGGAAAAGCACGTTGGCCCTGAAGGGTTTTGTTCATTAAAGATGTAGGCTGTAGGAATATTGTCTCATTAATTATCTGGTTTTAATTACACTGTTACCCTTTGAATCCATATATTTGGGGCGGGG